CTTGGGAGTAAAGGGGTCTCAGTTCATAACTGCACAGCAGGTGTGATGAGTTCTGACACTCTGCTCAAGGCTCGCTCTTTTTTTCCTCTGTTATTGAGGTGTAACTGACATGCAACATTATATTAGCTTCAGGCAAATAACAGTGATATATGTATATATTGCAAAATGGTCACCACAGTAAGTCTAATTAATATCCATCACCACATACATTTTTTTCTTGTGCTGAAATTTACTCTATTAGAAACTTTCAAATAGGCAATACAGTATTGTTAACTGTAGTCACCATGTTCTGCATTGCATCCTAGGACTTATTTATTTTATAACTCTAAGTTTGTACCTTTTCACTCCCTTCATCCATCTCACCCATCCCCACCCCCATCCCTCTGTTCTCTGTATCTGTGAGCTTGGGTTTTTGTTTTCTTTTTACACTCCACATATAAGTGAAATCACATGGTGTTTATCTTTCTCTGACTGACTTATTTCATTCAGCATAATACCCCATGTCCATCCATGTTCTTGCAAATGGTAAGATTCACTCTTTTTTTCAGCTGAGTAATATTCCATATATCACACCTTCTTTATGCAGTCATCAATCCATGGACACTTGAGTGGTTCCATATCTTAGCTATTGTAAATAATGCTGCAGTGAACATAAGGGTGCACATATCTTTTTAAATTACTGGTTTTGTTCCCTTTGAGTAAATACCCAAAAGTGGGGTCACTGGGTCATATGTTAGATCTATTTTTAATTTTTTGAGGTATTTTCATACTGCTTTTACAGTGGCCACACCAATCTGTATTTCCACCAAGTGTGCACAAGAGTTCCCCTTTCTCCACATTCTTGCCAGAGCTTGTGGTTTGTTGGTTTATTGATGCCAGCCATTGTGACGGGTGTGAAATGGTACCTCATCATGGTTTTGATTTGCATCTCCCTGACGGCCAGTGATGCTGAGCATCTTCTCGTGCACCTGCTGGTCATCTGTATGTGTTCTCTGCAAACATATCTACTCAATTCCTCTGCCCATTTTTGAAATTTCATTGTTTGGTATTTGGCTGTTGAGTTGTATGAGTTCTTTGTATATTTTGGAAGTTGACCACTCACCAAATGTATGATTCACAGGTATCTTCTCCCATTCAGTTGGCTGCCTTTTCATTTTGCTGATGGTTTCCCACAACTCTTTAAAAGAGGGCAGGTCCCCTTCCCTCTTTTGAATTCCCTTTGTAATGAAACATATGCTGAGTTTTCTACATTCTATGTGTTGTTAGTCATATGCTCACAGTATTCTTTAGTGTGTTATCCATCCCTGTATTAACAGTAAATTGGCTAAAGCAGATTCCAGTTGGGTTCTGGGCCACCTCTTCTCCAGCCTCTGCCCTCTTGACTCCAAGGAATGCACTGCTGCCCTCCCAGTCTCCACAGACAGACTTCTTCTCCCTTAAAAGTTGGTTTTCCTGCCTTTTGGTATATCTCCACATACTGCTTTGAATGATTTTGTTTAACTACACTCTATATGCTAATAATTTGCAAATCTCTACCTTCATCAGCACCTCCCTTGGCTCAAGATCATTCTCCATCCCATCATCTGAAGGACTCATTAAAATTCGATCTGATAAGCTCTTTTCCCTCTTTGACACTCTTCCCATCACCTTCAGGGTTAAAGCCAAGTTCTCTGCTCTGAATCCAGACCCTTGCTGGCCCAGCCCATCTGTGGTCCTTCCGTGCTCTCGGCTTTGGCCTCTGCCCCGCCTGCCCATTTTCTTCCTTCCTTCCTCCTTCCTTCTTGACAGACCGGCCCAGGGACCACATTTGCTAGGAAGCCTCCGTGAGCTACTATGCAAGGCCAACTATCTAGGTGTTTCTTCATGTATTCTTCATCGCCCAGATGAGGCCTTGGATAGTAGATATGTTTCATTGACACCCCACTGCCCAGAACATCAGTGCACTCAGATGTTTTTGGAATAAATGTTGAAAGTGACTGGGGATTTTAAAAATTCCCCTTCCTTGGAAAGTTCCAGTGGGGCCTTATGTTGACCTCCAGGCATGAAGAATGGGGAACCATCATCTGCTCACCATCTCTCCTCTGAGAGGCCCAGAGTGTCAGGAGAATATGGGAAAGAGCACAAGAAATCCGACTAAGGAAATTTGAAAACTCTTAATGCATTGACTTGAATTGGGCGTTGAACATGGTGGGTCTTCTCTGAGCTGATGCTAGTTTTGGGAAGGGGAATCCCGAGCAGAGCTCAGTGGCAGCGCACGCAGGGCATGTCCCACTGCTCGGAGGAAAGGGTGGTGAAGAGGTGCAGGAACGGGACCATGAGGGACCACGCTGTGCAGGCCTCTGAAGGCAGAGCAGAAGACTTGGGACTTTTCCTGACAGGAACCCCAGGATGAGGGGCCCCAGGGCGCTTGTGTCTCAGCACCCCATCGTGGGGGGGAATGAGGCATTGCAAAAGAGGTGGAAAGGTCGGAAAGGCTGGCTGCATGGCCTTGTCGGTCCTCGCAAGGACAGAGGTCACTGTGCTACAAAAGCCTGGACGGCAGTGCCAAGGGAGCAGGAGTGACGACAAGGGAAACATCTCATTTCAGCTGTCTGAGTGCGTGTCGGGCCGCAAGGGGGTAGGAACTGTCAATGCAAGGACCTGGGTGGCAGAGACACCTGCATTTTGCAGACAGCCCCAGGGCCCCCTTGATTGCACATGAGAGATGCATTAGAGTTCACAGTGGAGGCTGCCTCTCTCCTCCAGGTGCAGCAGTGGGAGGGAAGTTAGGGGAGGGGCCAGGCCTGTGTGCTCACCACCCCCGGGGTTGCCTGTTCCTGAGGCCTCCTTGCTCCCACATTACTACCCATATCCTTCTGGTTACCCAGAATGGCAACCTTGGAATCCCTGCTACCCAGTCCCCACACTCACATGGGAAATGTCCCTCTCAGCTTTAGAATGTTCCAGTGGCAGGTGGGACATGGACTGCTGGTTGGACTGTGACCCACTCTCTTAGAGCACCCTGCCAGCACCTGCATTCCTGAGTCCCCCCTTTTCTACATGCACCAGGTGTCACCTGACTCTGGGCCATGGACGCCCACACAGCACCTCCCTTTAGGCAAAACCATCTTAGACCTTCCCCACTCTGTAAATGGCACACAGTTGGTGTGGGGTAAATTTGTCATTGTGTGAATCAGATACCACTTCACATTCTTCTGCCCAGCCATCCTTGCCACCCATGTGTAAAGATGTTCCACCCAATCAAAAGAAGGCTTCAAGTACCCTCCTTACCTGCCCAGAGCCATCCACCCACTTCAGGCCACTCAGAGTGAACACTTGTCTTAGTGGCAGGTGTGGTCTCCTCCATGGAGAACACCCTTTAAGCCTGTCACTCCCTCAGGGCCGCATGGCCCACTTCACTCCTCCTGCAACAAGCTCGACTGTCCCTCCCCCAGCCCACCCCTCCCAGACCCTGCCGCCCGGCCACCCTTGCCCACTCTTTCACTAGATGGTTCCAGCATACACTTCCCCAGAGACCTTTCAACCTGGCTGCTGTATTTTAGTCATTGGCAGTGAGGACTAGTCCACAGAAGCAGTCACTTGAAGGACCTATGACTTATGGAAGCCACAGGGGTCAGGGTAGCCCTGCAGGGCCCTCCCCAGGTGCCTGCAGTGCCACAGCCTCACTGCTGCCAGGAGCACTTGGTAAAAGGTGTGGACGAGAACCAGTACGCACCCGAAGGTCTAGGTTTCAGGAACCTTTCAGCACATACCTTCTTGTGGTTTGTCCCAGACGCCCATCAGGCAGCAGCACTTTGGGGCCCCTGCTCTGGCACACGGCAGGCCTGCAGGCAGAGTGTGCTGCTTGAGAGGTTGGGGAAGTTGTAGCTGGGATTCTGAGAAGATTTATGGTCCCTCACGCTCAGCTCCAGAAGAAACATTCATAAAATGATTGTACACGTTTTAAATGGGCAGGTTACTGGAACTGAGAATTTAGAATCGCGGTGATCCCACAAACAAGGGGGATAATTCTCCCTCTGCATTAATGTCTTCCTTGCTTTGGGGCGGGGGCAGCAGAGGCCAGAGTCACACCTGGGGCTAATCTTGTTCCCCAGGGAACCCAGACCCTTCACGGTGTGGCAGCAGCTGTCTGCAGCTGTTGACACTCAGTCCTTGGCATCTCACCTGGAAACAGAGAGGCCTGAGTGAGGATGAAGGTGACCCAGTGTGCACCTTCGTGCAGTTCCAATGTCGCAGACTAGCCAGGCCTGCTGTCTGCTGCTTCACAGAACAGGCCACATGGACCCTGACAGATGGACGCAGGGCTCACTCTGCGGCCTTCTGCACAGGTGTCTCGGAGTTTCCTTTATTCACTGCTGTTTCAGCAGCCAGGTGACCCATGTCCGCACGGTCTGGTTCCCAGGCCAGCTAGCCCGATGCGAATTCACCTGTCCTGGGGACATTGCAGGCAGTGCCCTGGGACAGGTAGTCCCTTCTGAAGCTGCAGAGCCTTGGACACTGGAATGGAGGCAGTTCTAACTGGGGTGGCCCCTCATAGGTGGAGTTGGGATTCTGGCACAGAAAGGGTGTCTGACCGCACTGCATTGGCTGTGTGGTCACCTGTGGGTGCATGTGCACAGTGTAGAGATGTTTCTCTAGGGGCATTAGTGCAGAGTCTGAACATGGTTTAGGGAATGGCCAGCTGTGAAGTCTGCCTTTGCCTCTGTAGATCCAGATCTCGCGTGGACACTATCAGGGGTCAAGTGTCTGGCCGGCCTTCCTGCTCCTGTGAGCAGTAACTTCAGCACTACCTAGTACCCTTTACGCCGCCTGCTTTGCAGTGGGGCCCCTCCACCCGGGCCTGCACTGACCCTGCGTGAACTGGCTCTTGGCACAGGGACCCCTATGCACTACCAGAGCTTACAGCACCTGAGTTTGTACTGACCGCTCGCGGGCAGCCCGAGCACTCACTGAACCGAGGCACTCTGACGGGTGTGCACTGACCTCGCCTCTCTCTGCAGGCTGTCCTACGACCCCACCCGGTACCCTCGGCTCCTACCGGAGGCCTACTGCTTGTGCCGCGGCTGCCTGACCGGGCCGCACGGGGAGGAGGACCTGAGCCTTCGCAGCGCGCCCGTGCTGCTGCCCACCGTGGTGCTGCGCCGCACCCCGGGCTGCGCCGGGGGCCGTGCGGTCTACACCGAGGAGTACGTGGCAGTGCCTGTGGGCTGCACCTGTGTCCCCGCGCACGACCGCGACGCGCCAACGGACCCCGGCAGGTACCGCGACGGAAAAGAGCGGACCCGACACCCAGGCCACCATGAGCGGGACAGGAACCTGCGCAGGCCTGTCCGGCCGGGAGCGGGACAGTGACCCGAGCAGGCCAAGCCCGAGCGCACGGCAGGGAGTCGGCCTAGTGCAGGGAGAGCGACCGGGGCCAGGGGCGGTCAGGTCGTCAGGCCGCCGCCGAGACGGGGACACCAGTGCTGGGACACGCAGGAGGCCACAGCCTCCACACGTAGGCAGGTGGTAGATGCTTTTTAAAACACCTGTTTATAAGAAGAATATATACCTACTTGTTTTCTATAGGGGCAGAAACTATTTTTATATTAGCGATTTTGAACCATTCATTTTTTTTACTTGATACATAGACGTTTTATAAAACTTACTTTCACTTCCTCCGCTAGGTTTTAGAAGCACAGTTGAAATCCTCAGATAAACTCTTTTTGGCAGATGCCTGAGTCTCTGAAGCCAACCTGTCCCCAACTGCCTGCAAAACCAGATGAACGGGGTTGAACCTGACGTGCCCATCTGTCGGGCACCAATCTCCAGGGGCCGCTAGAGGAATTAAAGGGAAACGTAATAGGCCCCGGTCACCCCACAGCCACCCCAGAATTCCCAGACTTGGGTTTATTCATGAGTGTGTCCATGGCTGCAGGTTAACTCAATTAAAACTCTTTTTTTTTTTCACTTTTCAAAATCAGTGGGGCCAATTTGTGGGTAAGAGGTGGTGAGATGAGGCAACATGTGGAATGTTACATCTTTGCCAACTCTCAAAAGAACCTGTTGGCTGCTTTAAGGGCTTCTGGAACATGCCACAAAGGAGGGGAAAGTGGGTCAAATGAGCAGTTTCCAGAACGTGGTATTATATCTTTTTGTCTACATATTGCAGTGTGAGCCAAATCCTTACTCTTCTTTAAGTTGAAAGTCTGTCTCTGAACACAAAGATTTGCAAAAGCGACAAGTTCTTTTTAAATCACGGTTGGTGATTAAAACAGTGTTGGTGAAGGCATGTTATTTGTGTGTATTTCTCTGATGGGCTCAACTGAGTTTTAGAGGAAACAATGTTTTATCTGAATTTTATGGTGGAAGTTTATGATTTAAGTATTCATATATAAAGTCAACTCCTTTGCTCTTCTGAAACCCCCCCCCCCACCTCCAGCAAGCCAAGAGGGCCCCCTGCCCTTTTCTTTTTAACGTGTTTCACTCCCAAACTTCAGCTGCCACAGAAACAAACAGCTCTGGCTGCCCAAGTTATCCTCAGGCTTTGCTTGATCTGGACACAAGGTTCATTGAGAGGGTTTCCAGCTTTCACTGCTTGTTCACAGTTGTGCGTGAAAACACACTGCTAAACAAAATCTGCATTTTCCAAGTGCCTGTAGATAGTTGTGTATAGTTAGGGAGATTTTTTAGGTAGTTCTGGTGATGGTGTATCTTGAATACGTTGTCCAGAAACAAGGTTCAGAGCAACCTTTTGTTGCCAGTTCAGGTAAAAAAACAACATCCACAGACTAAAAAGAAAAACTGTCTTTCAAACCGGTGATATGGGTGGTAGTTTCAACCATCACCGCTTTTGTGTGTCATCTTCCACCGACTGCTCTGATATAATGAAAACAAGGATGGGTAAGGAGAACCAACTATCTGCATTGTTAGTTTACTTAGTTTGGTCAAAGTTAACTGGCTTTCCATTTTTAAATCTATATAGGCAGCCTTTCTTTGTACTTTTTCTCTAAGTGACACATTCATCCACCTATTTACTGAGCACCTGCCTTGCCCAGGTGCTGAGTTCCTGGAGCTAGCTGTGCACCACACCATCTGCACTCGGTTGGAAGCAGAAATCACCAGCTGTCAGCACTGGTTGTGCTCAGCCTCTGCTCACCTTTCACACTGCCCAGGAATCAGAGCTACTTTGCTCACCTATAAAATGAGGTGGTGCCATCTGCCTCACACAGAGCATTAGGGTCGACACCATGGTGAAGCGCCTGGCGGTGTCCACCCACACACACCACCCAGCGACTCACAAGCTCTACTGTGAATCCCCAGTTCTTTCTTCATGTGCTCTTTATACACATGCTTGAATTTTTATTTTTTTTGGGGGGGGGAATAAGTAAAAAAATAAGTTTAAAGTGAAATCTATCCCTAAGCAGCACCAGTTAGATAGAATACAGTCAAATCTTGGCTCTCAAATGTCTTAGTTCTCAAAAACAACTCCATTCTCTACCAAATTGCTCACAGAAAAAATGTCTCAGTTGTCTAACAAAACTTCGGGTCTCAATTCTCTACCCTACAGCCCTGTCATGTTGATATTTATATGATCAGTATGCATCTCTCAGGCAACAAAGGAGATTGTTTTGTGTTTTTTTTTTTAAGGTTTTATTTATTTATCTTTAGAGGGGAAGGGAAGGAGAGAGAGAGAGAAACATAAATGTATTGTTGCCTTTCGTTCGTCCCCTGCAGGGGACTGGCCTGCAACCCCGGCATGTGCCCTGACTGGGAATCGAACCGTGACTGTCTGGTTCCACTGAGCTACACCAGCCAGGGCAAGAGATTGTTTTTGAATAGATTGCTTCTCGAATAGTTTTCCAGAACAAATTAAACTCATGAACTGGGTTTCCACTGTATATTGAAATTAGAGGGCAGTGATCCAGTAGGGGGAGCTATTGCTTCAATGAATGATGAGTTTGTTGGACAGAGTCTTGTTAAAACTGAAGATTTATTTTGGAGAGGGAGGGGTTAGTATTGTATTTTATCAAATAGGAAAACTTAATGCCTCGAGAATTTTGCCACCAAAATTCAAGGACATCTTTTCTCCTTGGACACAATAAAACTGTTAACACAGTTGCATCTGGTTGATGCAGGTAGGCAGGCAGGCACCCTAAATTCTAGCAGCATCAGCTTGTAAATTTCATAGCTTCTTCCCTTCTACTCAAAAAGTGCCACCATGTCTATGTTTCCTTCAGGTAATTCTATTTTGAGGGTTTCATGGCAGTGGTCAGAATAGAGATACCTTAACTGGTTGATGAAGACTTTTTTCAACCGACAGTATTTCTATTGTATGCTTGCAAAAATGGCATCACTTGGGAACAGCCTTCAGAAGACACTGGCACCTCCCCACATTTCTGCATTAAGGGGCCAATGACCCAAACTTCTGGTTGGACTGCATCTTTTCTATCAAGGCAAAGGGGGGGGAAAGGTGAGTTTTAAACTGGTTCCTTCTCTGACTGGAAAAGGAAAGGAACCAGTGTGAGATTCTCATTCACTTCACCATGCATTTCATTTGTTCTTGCTGTCTACCCCCAAACCAAACACACAGAAACCTCCAAATTGCCAGAAAAACTGCAATTATAATCCCTTCCCTTTCTACTCACATTACGGTTGTCCATTTGGACTTACAAGGTCTGCTTTGGTTTTTGCAGTCATGTGGTTCAGATGTAAGAGTTTATTCCTGAGAACACCCTCTGTGCAAACAGACCTATCAGTGAGCATCACTCAGCCTTCCTCACAGTCCCCAAGCTGGTGGCCATGTGCACTCTGCCTGCTGCAAGCAAGACAGACACAGGACACACCCAGGCCTAGGTCAAGCTTTCCAGGTTGCCAGGATACTGTCAGGATGGGGGGGGTAGGACAAAAGGCGGCTGCACTACAACCCGGAAAAGACGGCTGATGTCAAACCAGAGAGCCAAAAGGGTGGCTTCATCCGCATAGCAACCTGAGCCCGAGGAGAACCACCAATGATATATTGCCCCTTTGTTCAAACGGGACTAATCCCCAGCTCCCATGAAGACAGCCAACCAAAATAAAACCCCACCATATTCCCTGCTTGGGCGGCGACTTCTTCGGCCCCACACTTTGCAGACTGGAGAACCTCACTTGGGTGCACAAACCCCAGGAAAGCTCTATACTGCCTAACTTTGTGGCTGATTGGCATTTCTTCCTCAGCGGAGCCTAAGAAAACCTTTCATTTGGTGCCAAAACCCGGGAGGAGTTGTTGTCTGCTGAAGACTGCTCCTCTCCTTACTCCCCGAGGAGGCCTCGCGGCCACCCCACCAGTCTGGACTAAGAACCAGGGTAAGTGCCACTGCCCTTAAGTTTCTGGTCCCCGAACACTGATTCCGGCCCCCGTCTGCCGGGAGAGGCTGCTCTCCACCAAATGGCAGCGCGGCGTGGGGGCGACCCTTCCGGGAGAGGCTGCTCTCCCTCCGCTGAGGTTCTAGGCACCGGAGCAGACGTCCCTGGGCCTGGATCCCCACTTTTACCGGACCGGATCAGCAGATTGGGTTGAGGGACACCGATTCCCATCTGCTGCTCCTCGTGGGACCAGGTGGGGGGGGGGGGGCAGGACTCAAAACCAGACCCTAAGTCACCTCTAGGGTGCCTCCTGAAAATTTTGGCAGCAATGACCCTGGCCTCAAGTGAAAACAGGTGATTTTTCTATCCACTATGGCCTGGCCATTATATCAGCTCGATAATCATGAAACCTGGCCTCCTGAAGGCACTTTCGATTTCGTTACCCTTACTGACCTAGATTTTTGCAGATGGACTGGCAAATGGCCTGAGGTCCCCTACATTCAGGGCTTTTCGGCCTTGTGCAGTGTTATACCCAGCTAGGAAAATTACAGCTAGGGCATTACCCAACCCTAAATCTGCAGTTCCTGGAACAGGGTGATGAACAAACATCCGGGAACAATTGGGTTTAAAATTCTAGCCAAATAAGGTAACTAACCCCGGCCGCCAGAAAGTGCCCGCCAGCAGCAGCACCCACCAATCAGGGACCCTCGCCGTTTTTAAATAAGCCAATAGCTAACTGCCACCTCTGCTTCTGTATGCCTTTGCTTGCTTGCTAGAAAATATAAATACCCAGTAGTCTGTAAGCCAGGCGCGACTTCCATTTTGTAGCTCTGAGTAGCTACGTGACTCCGGTCACAGTTGGGGAAGTTCGCCCCTGCGCAGGAAAATCTTTGGCCATTAAAATTTTTATCAATTCGGTTCTGGACTCCGAGAGTGTGTATTTACCCGCCGATCGTCTACAACACTCCCGCCTGAATCTGAGCGCCCAATGCTCCACAGCCCAAGTTCTCCTCACCCGAGGGAACCCTGCGCCCGTCCAGCCTCCTAAGCCTACTGCCCCAGAACCTCCCTCCTCTTCTGTTCCCCTGAAGAACTTATTTCCCCTTTTTATCAGCTCCTGCCAAGGGCTACTCCAGCCCCAGCCCTCCCCACTCAACCAGATTCTCCCCCTCCCTCTGAAGACCTTTCTTCCTCAGTCAGCTCACACAACCGCTCCCACCTGGATCTAGAGCCCTGGACTCCCGCATGTGCTCCATCTGGGAAGTGGCGGAAGCAGAAGGTGTCGTTTGGGTCCACGTCCCTTTTTCACTAACTGACCTCTCTTCAGTTGAAAATGCCTAGGCTTGTTTTCCACTAACCCTACCAATTTTATCAGGGAATTCCAGTACCTAGTCCAGGCTTATGACCTCACATGGCATGACCTGCACATACTTCCCATGGCCCCGGATGAGCGTGACCACATCTGGACTGCAGCTAGGGCTCATGCAGACCAAACCCACGCCACCAGTCCCCTCAGGCCATTAGGGGCTGAAGCCATGCCAGAGGCGGAACCAGGCTGGGCCTACCAGGTAGGACAGGGGGGTCGGAAGCACTGCGACTAAATGGTCGAGTGCCTGATAGCAGGTATGCACCAATCTGCCCAGAAAGCAGTCAATTACGATAAGCTCAGAGAGGTCACCCAAGGTCCCAGAGAAAATCCGGCACTGTTTCTCAACAGACTAACCGAGGCGATGGTGCTCCATACCTGCTTCAACCCAGCTTCTAACACTGGGGCCACTGTCTTAGCTACTCACTTTATCTCCCAGTCAGCCCCAGATATTAGAAGGAAACTGAAAAAGGCCGAGGATGGCCCCCAAACCCCCATCTGAGATCTGGTAAAATATGGCATTTAAGGTTTTCAATAACCGGGAAGCAGAGGCTGAGGCTGCCCACCAGGCTCGCCTACAGCAAAAGGCAGCCCTGCAAACCCAGGCCGTGCTAGCGGCCCTGTGGCCAGCGGCAAACACTGGCACGGAGGCAAAGCCTAAGTCCAGGCCAAAGAACACCCCACCGGGGCCTGTTTCAAGTGTGGCAAAGAAGGGCACTGGGCCTGCCAGTGTCCTCAAAACCTCAGCCACCAACAAAGCCTTGCCCAAACTGCCGACAGCCTGGCCACTGGAGGGATGCCTGTCCCCTTAGAGACTCGTCCCCGGCGCCTCCACGAGGGGGACCAGCCGACCAAGGTGGGGACTCTTCCCTGGCTGCGCCGGAACTTCTCGGACTCCTAGGCTATTGAAGCAGCCCAGACTCGAAGACCCCCATCACCCTCGCTGAGCCCAGGGTAACACTGTAGGTAGCGGGTAAATCCATCTCTTTCCTAGTGGACACGGGGGCTACCTACTCTGTTTTACCATCTTTTTCAGAACCTCTTACTCCTTCCCAGATCTCGGTCATGGGGGTTGACGGGACCCCGACTTGCCCATGGCGAACCCCCCTGCTTAGCTGCAGTCTGGACGGCTTTCCCTTTTCCCATCCATTCCTTGTCATACCCTCCTGCCCTATTCTGCTTTTAGGACGGGATGTTCTCCAACTATTAGGCACCACTCTCCAGATCACGCAAAACCCAACCCCTTCCTCCTCCCTTATCCCCCCGCTGTTGGAAAATCCAACTCCTCCTCCAGCTCCACCCATTTTCCTTCCCTTGTCAACCCACAAGTATGGGACACTTCTACCCCAACCATGGCTTCTCATCACCCCCGCCATCATCCACCTAAAACAGCCCCACGTTTTCCCATCCTGACCCCAATTTCCTATCTCCCACGCAAACTTAAAAGGACTACAGCCTATCACCTGCTTCCTAGACCAGAAACAGCTGACCTCTAGCCCCTCCCCTCTCTGCCCCCCGACAACAGAAGTATCCTGTTGGAATACTGCGCCCCCTATCCTATCAAAGAGGTCGGAATGTTAGGATGGGCGGGGGAGGACAAAATGGTGGCTGAAGTCAGACCAGGGAGCCGAAAGGGTGGGCTTTGCCAAAACGGATATCCGCATAGCAACCTGAGCCCAGAGAAAACCACCAATGATATATTGCTGCTTTGTTCAAAGGGGACTAATCCCCAGCTCCCATGAAGACAGCCAACCAAAGTAAAACCCCGCCATATTCCCTGCTTGGGCACGACTTCCCTGGCCCCACTCTGCGGACCGGCGAACCTCACCTGGGTGCGCAAACCCCAATAAAGCCCTACACTGCCTAACTCTGTGGCTGGTTCGCATTTCTTCCTTGGCAGAGCCTAAGAAAGCCTTTCAGATACATCTACAGGTCATTCATGAAATCCAGAAGCTGATCAGAAATGAACATGGGCTTTTTAAAAAAATTGTTTTTCAAATACAGTTGTCTCCATTTTCCCCCGCCGCACCCTCAAACCTACCCCACTTTGGCTTTGTTCAGGGGTCCTTCATACACATTCCTTATGACCCTTCCCTTCTTTCTCCGCTTATCCCTGTACCCCCTCTTTAACGTGGGCTCGTTAAAATTGTAATTGAAGCATCCAAAGCAAAAAACACATTGGCTGCTTATTAAAAATATAATTACACTTTAATTTAAGCTTTGCCCCTTCCCTCCCCCACCCCACGAAGAAATAAGGTTTCTTTCATCTTAAATGCTAGATTTATAAAAACTAAAATTCTGTTATTTCTAGGCTGTTACTCATCTACAATTCCTAAATTATACATTACATTTCTACACATTTGTTATAGAATGTGTTATCTCCCTAAGTAATTTTTAGCAAACTGCTTAAGGAAATAATATGGTAGGGGTTATTTTTTAGAAGAACAAACATGTATTGAATACTTAAAGTCCCAGGTACACTGATAAAAATATAAATGTCTCAAAAATACTGAGTGATCTGTTAAATAGATTTTAAATTACCCCGAAATGTGATAACTGCAGTTTGAGAAGCAAGCTTGGGCGGGCGGGCCGGCCTTCTCTGAGCGCCGGCTCTCCAGGGTGCACTGCAGTGAAAGCCACCCCAGTGTCTGATTTTCAGCCTCCGAGGTTCACTTCTCACTCCCCCAATGTCCCCTGCAGGCCAGCTCCACTTGGGAACCTGAACAGCCCACAATGCTTCTCTGTAATAGCACTGGTCACAGTGTCAGAGGGAAAATAAGGTTCTAATTGTGAAGTGACATGTGTCATTTCCTTCATGTACAATTAGCCAAAGCAAGTCACATGGGATAGAAAAGTATGTTTTCCCAAAGTTACTTTTTAAATTTTTATTTTGAACTTATATATTCACAGAAAACTGGAAAAATAGTAGTGAGACCTTGTGTGTCCTTCACCCAGTCTCTGCCAATGACACCTTATGTAACAACAGCCTCCCAAGCAGCGATGGGCAGGGCGCTATGAGACCTCGCTCAGTCTAGCAGTGGTGCATGCCCGCATTTCGTGTGCATGTTTAGCTCCATGTGATGCTGTCACATGGGTACACTTCACACCATCGATCTTCACATGGGTACACTTGTATCACCACTGCACGATCAAGATTCAGAACAGGCCCAGCACCACAAGACCCACTCCCACCCCTCCCCACCGCATCCTAGCCTCTGCCAACCACTGACCTGTGTGGGCACAGCGTTCCCTCACGAATGGAAATGCAATGGGACTTTTGGGGCTGGCTTCTTCACTCACCACACTACCCTTGACAATGCCCTTGAAACCTTTCCAAGTTGCAAGTATCAACAATTCATTCATTTGAATTGCTAAGGAGTATTCTGTGCTTTTTGAACAATAATTAAGTCTGCACCTCTGCCCCCATCCTGTTTGCTTGTGTTTGGTATGCAGATAGCACCTGCATTTTCTCAGGTGACCTGCAGTATTAGCTGTGGCCCTAGGTAGGATGCTGGGCTGAGCTGGATGGAGGTCACCTGGGCTGTGTCCCTGTCCTCCCTCCAAGAACTGAAAGAGAAGGAAAGATCCAGGAGGCTCTAGGACATTTGTTCCTAAGGAAAGTCTTGCCTCCTTGAGGGGCTGGGATAGAGGGGCTCCTCATGAGTCCAGCGGTCCTCCTGGACAGCTGCAAGAATCAGCAGTCCACGCACAGACTCAGAATGAGCCCATTTTTTAAGGGGATGTAGTGCCCAAGGTGGAAGCCAAAGTTCTGTCCAATTTGGGTATTAGCCAAGCCACTAAGCTGTTTGCACTTCTGTTTTTACCTCTGTAAGTAAGGAGAGTAGCTTAAATGGGTTCAAAGATTTCTTCCAACTGCAATTCCAAATTCAAGTTGGAAAGGATCCTGAGATCCGAGATGCCCTGAGTAAGGAACTCCCAGTGGGGCACTATGTCCTCACGCGGGAGACCAGGGAAAGCCCAGTATGAAGGAGGGGAGGACAGCACAGCTTCACAAACTACTGAGAAAAAATGAAGGGAATGTGATACACAGTCATTTCCTGCATTTACACATCATGGTCCAGCCCAGAATCATAATTTGCGTAACAGCGAAACTCATTGGCCACATTCCGGGTGTGCTCTGGAGTAAACCTGCACATCTTCACTCCAAGAAGTCTCATCGCGTCTTCTTCCATGACAGCCCCTGAAGAGAACAGACCAGGTGGACCTGAAGATGAATACAAGCATGCACCCTGTGTTCTGGTAGGCAACAAAAGAGCATTCAGAAAATGAGGCTGGAGGTCAGTTCTCCAGACTCCTTTTTACTTCCTTCAACATTTTGGCAAATGACTTACTTTCTTAAGTATTCCTGTCTCTGCAAAGCTGAGATAGTTAAAGCTTTAGAAATAGATTATATCCCACTAAGTAACATAAGAAAAGCAAGAACAATTATTAAAAACTGGTGTTTTCCTCTTTGATCAAGAACCCCCTTTTCAGTAACATGAACTCTTGCAAACTGAACAGGAACACATCCACACCGGCCTTGGCTAACCAGCCCATTTCTCCCTCAGCCTGACCCCCCCACAGCCTATCTTGCACGACCCATTGCTGCGGACTTCATCCCAGATGCTGCCAAGCACCCGTCCCTGGACACCCACGGCAGCGAGCGCTGCACACTCAAAAACCTGGGACTCACCCTGGATTCGACCCTTTCTCACTTTCCACTTGCACAGCACAGAACATTCTTTCAGCTTCATCTCCCAGTATGTCTTTCCTCCACCCCTGCCCTCCTGTTCTACCTCCCAGCCTTGTCCAGACTGCTTGTCTCAGCTGAACACTGCATCCACTCACCCAATTAATTCCTGTTGATACAAAGTTAACACAATCTAAGGGAAAAAAAAAAAAATGTACTTGAAAAGTAACTAAATAAAAAAAAAAAAAACAAAGTTAACACAATCTTCCTTAAATTAGATCTGTCCTTTTGGGGCTGGACACTTAAAAAGAAAAACCCAACTCTGACCAGCACCTGTATGTAGGGGGACACTATTGTCCCAGTACCTGGGCCCTTAAGGCCTCCTCCTGAGGTCACTGCTGCAGTGCTGCTCAGCTCAGAGAACCAGCAGATCAGTAGTACAGCCCCCAATTCCGTGCCAGCCCACCATTCTCTGATTCTTTCCCATACTTCTCACAATTAGAAATTCATTTCTTCATCTGTTGTGATCACTTTTAACCTAACCCCTAAAACTGAATATATACTCCATGAGGTCAGGCGCCTGCCTCTCTGCTGGAACAAAAGGCTAATCACAGCTAATTAATAAGTAAATACTATTTGTGTCAACAAGAGCCATGTTCTTGACTAAATACAACTCGACAACCAGAAGAGCTCCACCGCTCAGCCTGGGTGCTCCAGAGAGAAGCGTGGCTATGAGGCTGGGCGCAGGAACAGGGGTCCACACCTCAGGGCCTGGACACCAGACCGCCCAGACTAGAGAGACAGTTACCATTTTAGTTCTGGGTCAAATCTCAGCACATCCATGTATCTCAATCCCACCAGAAAGAACACCGTTCTGCTGTAGTAAAGCTGACCTAATACCTAGCTTGTAACCTCAGGTAATTCACGTTAACTCCAGAGTCCACAACTCTCATCGAGTGCGACCCCAAGCGATGTGTGGGAGGCACTCAGTCCTCACAGCCCTGAGAGACAGGCAGTGTTGCCAGCCCCATTTTCACAGATGAGGAAATGGGGGCACAGAGAAGTTACATAAACATAACCTGCATAAGGTCACACAGTAAATAGTGGATTCAAGATCTGTGTTCTAAGATCTCTGCCAACTCTTGACATCTGACGCTTGAATATCACCTACCTGTGCACAACAGAATCTTGTCCCGGGTCAGATACTTGACAGTTTGTGAGGTTTTTCTAAGACATTCCTCAGAAAGATAGGGGGGATCCACTACGACAATGTCAAAACTATGAGCAGCAATGTTTTCAGGGAAGTCCAGTGGATTATTGTAATCATAGAAGACAAACTCCTCTCCATAAATGGCAAATCTTCTGTCATACTCAAAGACGTACACATCCAGGCCTTCTCTGTGTAGCTCTCTCAGTTTCTGATACACGCTGGGGGTGCTCACACAGGCTATCCTGGAAAACAGTGAGCAAGCACACTGAGCGCCCTGACGGGCGGCTGTCCGCCCCAGACAACAGCACCGCCAGAAACAGAGGGCCCTGTGCTCGGGCCTCCCTGAAGAAAGTAACTGTGCAACTAACATAACAGCAGTAAATTCTCAGAGAAAAATGTTAACTGGCTAACTTTTAAAGGAATCTGGTATTTAAAAATCTGCAACTCGTAATTTTAAGGTACAAAAAAGATAAATGTGTTTTCTATTGTAAAAACTGTAAGGCATTAAGGATATATAAGGGCAACATTAGCCCAAACCTAAATTTACCTATATATTCATGGACCCTTAACATTTGTTTTAAATATAGTCTCAAACTAAATATTTTGAAGTTACTTTGTAATATGCATAATCTTGAAAGAAAAACCCCAAATAAATGCTTCAGTAACTCCAGTTTTCCAAAAACATACATTAAAATTAGGTCTCAGTGAAGAAAAGATACTTTGGATTTCACTGCTTTTTTGTATAAGGAAATTATTACCAGCAGCCTGCACTTTAGGAATGGGTAGTGTCTCAATAGTTAACTGTTAAAACCAACTTCTAAAAAAACTAGTAGTAACACCAAACTATTGACTTGATTGGGGTCCATCTGAAACAAAGGAATACTATACTATATGGCCATCGCACCCCAAGACATTCCAGGAACATAAGGGTTTTTCCCCCTTATGTTCCCCATGAAGACACTTTCATGGGTGTAAGAAAGAATGTCCACTCAGAGACACAGGCAAGATCTGGAGACCACAGCTGCCTCATGGGAGAACTGGGGGCCTGGAAATAATGAGGAAGGAAACTTATTTTTCTCAATCCCCTATGTAACTTTCAGACTTTTTATCACACATACGTATCATTCAAAAAAGTACTTTCTGTGATTTAAATTATTTTGTTTATGCTAATACAGTTGCCCCAATTTCTCATTTGCCCTTTTACCCAGCCTCAACCCACTGCCTCTAGCAACCCTCACACCACTGTCCATGTCCACGGGTCATGCACATACGTCCTTGGCTACTCTGTTCCCTGTGCTGTACTTTACATCCCATGACCATTCTAGAACTATCAATTTGTACTTAATCTCTTCACCTTTTTTGCCCATCCCCTGAAACCCCCTCCCATCTGGCAACCATCAAAACATCCTCTGTATCTAGGATTCCATTTCTCTTCTATATTTTTTAGAATCAATTGTTGATAGCTATGTATTTACTATTATTTTATTGTTCATATTTTTTATCTTATTAAAGACCCTTTAACATTTCACATAATACTGGTTTGGTGCTGACATACTCTTAGCTTTTTCTTGTCTGGGAAGCTCTTTATCGCCCTTCCATTCTAAATAATAGCTTGACTGGATAGAGCAATCTAGGTTGTAAGTCCCCATTTTCACCACTTTGAATATTTCTTGCCAATTCCTTCTAGACCACAAAGTTTCTTTTGAGAAATCAGTTGACAGTCTGATGAGAGATCCCTGTAGCTACCTGCTTTTCTCTTGCTGCTCTTAAAATTCCCTGTCTTTACCCTTTGCCATTGTAATTATGATGTCTTGGTGTGGGCCTCTGTAGGTTCATCTCGTTTGGGACTCTCTGCACTTCCTGGGCTTGTATGTCCATTTCCTTCACCACGTTAGGAAATTTCTCATTATTTTTTCATATAGGTTTCCAATTTCTTTTTCTCTTCTACTTCTTGCATCCCTATGATGCAAATGCTGGTATGCTTAAAGTTGTCCCAAAGGCCCCTTACACTCTCCTCATTTTTTTTTAATTAAAATATTTTATTTATTTATTTTTAGACAGAGGGGAATGGTGGGAGAAAGAGAAAGAAAGAGACATCAGTGTGTGATTGCCTCTCACAAGCCCCTTACTGCAAACCTGGCTCACAACCCAGGTATGTGCCCTAGACTGGGAACCGAACCTTTGGTTTGCAGGCCAGCGCTCAATCCACTGAGCTACATCAGCCACGGCTATCCTCACTTTTTTTAGATTCTTTTTTCTTCTTGTTTTAATTGGGCTATTTATGCTTTCTTAAATTCTAAATCACTGATTCGATTCTCAGGTTCATCTACTATGTTGATTCCCTGTAAATTGTTGAATTCAGTTAGTGTATCCTTCATTTTTGACTGGTTCTTTTTTATGGTTTATATTCCCTTTATTATGCCCTTGAAGTTCTAAGTCCACTGAGCATCCTTATAATCAGTGTTTTTAACTCTGTACCTAGTAGATACTTGTTTCCATTTGGTTTCAGATTTGTTCTGTTCTTTCATTTGGGCCATGTTTTTTTTCTCATTTTGGTGGCCTCCCTGTGTTTGTTTCTATAGATTAGGTAGAGCTGCTACAACTCCCTGGTTTGGAAGAGTGGCCTAATGTAGTAGGTGTCCTGTAGGGTCCAGTGGCACAGCCTCCCTTATCACACAAGTAGGGTACTCAAGGTGCACCTACTGTGGGAGCTGAGTACACCCTCCTCTTGTAGTTGAGGCTTGACTGCCATTGGCAGGTCAATGGGAGAAATTTACCCAGGCTGATCAGCTGCAAGGACTGGCTGTCACCACTGATCACCAACCTCTGACCACCATGGAGGATCAGCTGTGCAGCAGCCTACTCCACAGAGCAGGACTTTCTTCAGCAGAGCTCTGGTGCCTACTGAGTCTGCCCCTTGAGTGTTTTGGTTGTGGAGGTGGTCAGGTAGTGATGTTCTGACATGGTCTGAAGCTGTCCATTGGGCATGCAGGCTCTGGAGCCTCCTGGGAGGTCCAGGCCAAGGTCAGCCATCACCTATGTTCTGTCTTGGGCCATGAGCATGAGCTAAAAAGCGATCTGCAGTTGGCTGCTACTTGTGCTGGGTTTGGAGGTATCCAAGAGAGTCCAAGCTATGAACGAACAACTGCTGCTAGTGCTGGCCTGTTGCCACTGAGCCATAGGCACAAAGATGCTGAGGTAAGATGCTGCTTCTTCGTAAGAATTTAGGAAAATCTGAAGCATGAGCCAAGCAAGCCCCTGAAAAGGAAAACCACTGGAAACACCTTGGGTGGGCCCAAAAGCTGGGTGGGATAGAAGCTCAGGGGATTACCAGGGGGGCAAACAGTATGAGCCAGGCTGATGGAGTCTCAGGTAAGGCACCTGCCTGCCTGTTCCATTGAGGGAAGGCTCAGAAAGGGAACAATGGCCTCTGCCAGCACTTCTGTTGGGAGAAAACTGCCCCGTATCTCTCATCCTAACACCAAACACTTTAGTTCCTCCCTGTATGGCTCTGGTGCCTTTCAATCTGCTTCTCCCATGCTGGAGCTCAGAGGGAGTGAGTTTCAGTAGGTCTAAGCACGGCTTTTAAGAGGAACTACCTGGGTCTCTATAAGCTGTCTTCCACATCCTCAATCCTCACTCATTTTTACAGCCAGACGTTATGGGGACTTATCTTTCTGGCACTGGAACCCTGAGCTGGGGGGGACTAGTGTAGGGCTGGGACCCCTTGCTCCCAAAATATCCCTCCCAATTTTTATCTGCCACATGTGGGTGTGGGACCAGCCCATTCGGCATCTCTGCCCCTCCTAGCAGTGTTGATGTGCTTTCTTTAATTCTGTAGTTGTAGGACTTCATTCAGCTCTATTCCTGGAGGTTCTGAATAATGGCTGTTCTGTAGTTTAGCTCAAATTTTGATGTGGTTATTTGAAGAGGCGATCCATGTTTACCTGCACTGCCATCGTGAAGTCCTCAAAAAAAGTACTTCTTTTAAAAATTAATAATTAAACTAAGCTTTAAACCTATGAGGTGCATTTCTGAACACATGCAGTATAGGCCTCCAGGCTTGCTAGACAGGCTGCTTGGCCCAAATACACTTGAAGTGTCTAACAGCCTGGTGATGTCACATATGCTTCCATGGGAAACATGCACATCCCAATCAGTGGCAAGGGCAAGAAGAGCCCCAGCCCAGGCTGCTGTCATCATTCAGTGGGCTGGTGAGGAGATAGATGAGGGTATAGAGCCACAATGTCTTCTTCACTGTCCTGGGATGACAAACAGCAAACAGACTCACAATAAACTATCACCTGAGAAAGAGGTGAAATAAAGGCATCTGCAGTCAAATGAAATCTGAACTTGTTGCCAACAGAACATCTCTAAAATATTCTGAAGGATGTACACAGATATCAGGAAAGGGTATGAGATGCAACAAGGAGGAAGCAGGCATGGTGAACCCAGCAGGACAGTGGAGTTGGTCATGGAGTAATGGGGTCAGAGAGTGGCTCACCCCTAAGTCATCTTGAGCAAGCGACTAAATCTCTTGGGCCTCAGCTTCTGTCTTTAGAATTAAGAATGTAATGTTAATTACCTCACAAAGGTGTGAGAACTAAACAAGCTAACCCTCGAAAAGTGCTGACACAGAAGATGGGGACAGGGCAGGCACAGCGTATTCAACAGGTGCTCCAATTTTCACTTAAGACTATGACATAGCTCCTGAAAATACTGAAGATGTCTGTCAGAAAAAAAAAATAAAAGGTCGCTTCCAAAGTCCTTATATTAATGAGGAAAATATATGTAAAAACATTGTCATTAAGAAAAACTTAATGAACAACTAAATATAACTTAAAAAGAACAGACAAAAACAAAACTGGGGACTTCCAGTTAAAGATGACGGGTAGGACACGTTCATGGACTTGTGCCCTCATGAAAGCCCACTCAAGCAACACAAGTAAAATTCCATTTTACTGTTGAAGCCTACACCTGTAAGAGAAAGGGAATGTGAGAAGACACAAAAGAAACACACTTAGGAAGCTGGAAAGCAGCGTAGAGTGGCATCTGACTTGGCAGGCCCAAGACACCCAATTCCAGTAGCCAGGAAAGGTGGGGAACAACCTGGTCTCCATCACTGCACCCCAAAGGCTCAGGATGCTGCAGACCAGGTAACTCAAGTGGGTTGAAGTCCATGTAAGAAGACAGTTCTTCCCAGGACTTCCCTCCCCCTCCCAGAGCCCCAGGTGTCTACCTTCCACAAAAGGAAAACTGGAGGGACAGTCTCTGAATTGGGGTACAGTGAGGGGGTGTCAGCACAACAAGTGATTCTGTATTGTATGGCAATGACAAAGATTAAGTTAAACCTACCAGATGCTGGGACCTACAGTCCTTTCGGTAGTGTGCCCCTCAGGACAATGTCACAACACACATAACTTCAAGGGAAAAATTAGAAGACTCTTCCTAGAGCTCTGACCAGCCCAGAAAGAAACACTCAGAGAGAGTTATACTGGGGATTATCTAGGAAATAGCTCAGCTGGATCATCCAACTGCAAAGACCAAGTAGATAAGGTCTGCCATGTGTTACGGCTTTCAAACCTTAATGTGAACAGGCAGGGAAAGTCAATAGACATTCAGGAAAAGCACCTGAGGCCAAAATAAACAAGCAGAAAGGCATGTTGGAGTAAACAGATTATGTTGAGAGAAGAAAGCTTTTAAAAATACCCTGGAATTAATATCCTCATAAGGATGAACAAGATACAGTAATAAAGAAATATTCAGTGATTCCCAAAAGAGAGCTATGTAATTTTGTGTCTATGTATGTGATAACAGAAATGGCAAACCCAGCATAAAGTTTAGATATAAAGTTGAGTAATTTCCCTAGAAAGTAAGGTAAAAAAGACAACAGATGGGGAAAAAAGAGAGAAAGAAAAGGAGGTAAGATCCAACATTCAAATATTAACAGGATTTCCAGAAAGAAGAACAGAAAAGAGAAAATCAAAGAAGGCAGTTTTTCCAAACTGGAGGAAATGAGAAAGAAAGGGCCCCTCCCACCCAGGAAAAGAGGGGAATGCACTACACTAGGCTGCATCAAATACTGGAGATTACGAGAAAATCCTGAATTTGTAATGAACAAGGATGGGAGAAAACAGGTTTCCTAATGAGAACTCAGAACAGAGTGGGATTTCTCAACAGCACTGAAGAATACTTGGAGGCAGTGAAACAATGTCCTCAAAATCCAAATTATATATACAGAAAAACTATTACAATTGAGAGTAGGGTAGAATAAAGATATTTTCAGACACGAAAGGCTTTAAAAATTTGCCTCCCACATATCTTTTCTGTGGAAGCTATTAAAGGATGGACCCAACCCAAATAAGGCTGCAAACTGGGAACTGGGGTACAGGAAACCGGGAATTCAGAATGAAAGAGAGGAAAAAGGATCCCCAGCATGATGGTAAAGAGAGATGCCAAGATAAAAACTAGAAATCAACCTGTCAAGCTTGGAACAGGCAGTAAAGCTCTGGGGTAACATTTTTCAGGGATTTGAATTATTTCTGTGTTTATAGACAGATTTACACAACCCGGGGAGAATCTGAGGGTTAATAAATGATATGGACATAGAAACACATAAAAAATAGGAGACATTTTCTTTGGGGAAAATGAAACATTTTACAGTAAGGAAAAAGTAAAAGCCTCAGCTGTAAAGAACATTTATGTGTTTGTAACTATATAAACCCTGTTCTAGTCCAAATGAGGAAAAAACTACTGGGAGCATGCATGTCTGTGGACATGGTAAAGTCTGAATGAGATAAAACCTCATGTTCTGTGGGGAGAAATCAGGAAACAACGTTTCAGGTGACAAACCCAGAAGGGCTAACAGAAGTATGTTATTTAAAAATATGGTGGTACCATTATTATATGAAATGTTAAATGTTTTCTTCAATGAAATTGAAGAAAAAGATCAAAACTAAGAATAATAAAATAACAAAAAATACATATCTATTAACAATTGATTCTAAAAAACTAAGCAAACAAGAACAGAGACAGAATCATAGATGCAGAGAGCATTCTGATGGTTGCTGGATGGGAGGGGGCGAGGGGAAGAATGGGTGAAGAGGTGAAAGCATTAAGAAGCACAAACAGGTAATTACAAAACAGCCATGGTGATGTTAAATGGAGTATAGGAAATGGAGTAGCCAAAGATCTTATATGTATGACCCATGGACATGAACAATGGTGGGGGGATTGCCTGAAGGAGTGGAGGGTACTGGGTAGAGGGAGGCAAAGAGGGGAAAGGTAGAACTGTAATAGCATCATCAATAAAATATAATTAAAAATAGAAAAATATGGTTGTAAATACCAAAGGATCTATTGGAAGGGTGCTGAAAAGGGAAGGAGGTGGGGAAGGGATAAAATTAGAAATGGATATTTTTTTGCACAAACCTTTAGGACCATTTGACTTTAAACTACAGGTATGTAAAATTTTGATAAAAATAAAGAACAAGTTAAAAAAAGAAAACCTACATTCTTAAAACCTCAACAAGTCAAGTATTTTACCCTGTAAAAAAGAAAGAAGCAGGTTGGAAAATTTTTTTAAAGGACAGAGGGAAGGGAGGTATAAGGGGATTAAATGGTAATGGAGAAATATAATAAAAATTAAATTAAAAATAAAATAATTAAACAAATTTTTAAAAATGACACAGATAAGACATCTTACAATGAATACAATTCTGAGTGTCCCTAAACTTGTTATTGCTGCAGTTCTTATTCCTTATATTCTACAAAGCATGAACTACGAATTTTGCTGATTATGATTCAGACTTGTTACAAAGCATCTTCCATCTAGGAAGGACATTTGAAATATTAATTTAGATTGAAACAAAAGAGAAGCAGAATTTGAATGTCACCTTCCACCTTCTCCAGCAGCTGCAATCGCTTCCTTGGCGAGCTTCAGAGCCGTTTCCTGACTGTACCAAAACTGGCTCAACTGCTGTAACAGAGGGATGAGTTGAAATCATTTTAGAATTAGTATAAATTTGGTTTATTTAATTTAAACCTGTGCATATATTTAAATTTTTTTCATTTTTTTCTCTTTAAAACTAATTTTTTGGAAATTATTATTTTTATTTTATTTTTATTCTTTACACTATCACAGATGTCCCTATTTTCACCCACTTTGCCCCTCTCCCCACTGCCCTCAGCCGCCCCTTCCCACCAGCCATCACTGTTGTCTGTGTCTATGGGTTATACATGCATGTTCTTTTGCTAATCCCTTCACCTTCTTTCATCCAGTCCCCTCTCCTGCCTCCCCACTGATAGCTGTCAGTCCGCTCCATTAAGAGAAGGATGGGGGTCCAAGATGGCAGGGAAGTAAGTGGAAGTTATACTCAAGTTCCCCCAGAACCTTACTGGAATTAGTACTAAATTGCAGAACAATCAACCTGAATTATAAACTGAAGACTACCTGAAGAGAAGTCTTATAACCAAGGATTTATAGAATACCCACATCAAGACTGATAAGAAGGACAGAGATGCAAGAAGGGCTGGCACCAGTCCCGCACACCAGTCCCAGCAAAGGTAGCCACCAACTGTGGATTGCTTTGTAGCTCCCAACAGGTAGCCCAGGTCACAGGGAGCATCTGACTCTGACCTGAATTGGAGTCTCTCCCAAGAGGCCCCAGAACCAACCCAACCAGGAGCTCACTTCAGATCACATCAGAGCACCACCCAATTAGCTCCACAACAGGCACACTCAAAGGGAGATTTCAGCATGCACCAGACCCTGCTGGGGTGAATTCTACTTCATGACTTCAGCCCCTGCACAGCAGCTCATACGGTGGTCAGGTTGATTTTCAGAATCAGTCAGCCTGACGGTCAACACCACCCAGGGATGGGCTAATGGCAATCGAGACTCAACTGCTGCCCAGGCCTGGTGGTTCAGTTGGCTGTAGCGCTGTCCTGTACACCAAAAGACTGTAGGTTCACTCCCTGGTCAGGGTGTGTAGAGGAGGCAATCAATCTACGTTTTTCTCTTACATTCATATGTTTGTCTCTCTCTCCTGTCCTTTCTCTCTAAAATCAGTAAAACATATCCTCAGGTGAAAATTGTTTTTAAGATGTTCTTTAAAAAAAAGACTCATGTAACCCAAGAGGGGAACACTCCTAGAGTACCCAGCTCAGCTGAACAGGGAGACTGTGCTCCTGGGTCCCACAGGACACACAGTACATAAGGCCGCACTACCAAGGCTGACTGACAGAGCAGCTCTACCTAATACACAGAAACAAACACAGACAGGCAGCCAAAATGGGGAGACATGGAAACATGCCCCAAATTAAAGAATAAGAGAAAACTCCAGAAAAAGAACTAAATGAAAGGGAGGCAAGCAAACTACCAGATACACAGTTCAAAACGATGGTTGTAAAGATGCTCAAGGAACTTAATATTGAATCAATGATTTAGAAGATAAGGTAGAAGAAAACAGAGCAGCAAAAATAAAAAAGAATTTTTAAAAAATAAGGATAGTTTAGCCCTGGCTGGTGTAGCTCAGTGGTTTGAGTGCGGGCCTGTGAACCACATGATAGCAGTTCAATTCCCAGTCAGGGCACATGCCTGGGTTGCAGGCCAGTTCCCAGCAGGGGACCCATGAGAGGCAACCATACAGCGATATTCCCTCCCTCTCTCCTTCCCTTCCCCTCTAAAGTAAATAAATAAAATCTTAAAAAAAAAAAAAAAAAAAAGGATAGTTTAAGGAACAGCTAGGAAAACATCAAGTAAAACAACATCTTCATCACAAGATATCAGAAGAAGAGAGAGAACAAGGGATTCAGAACCTATATGAAGAAATAATGACTGAAAACTTCCCTAACTTGGTGAAGGAGAAAGACAAGTCCAGGAAGTTCAGAGTCCCAAACAAGATAAAACCAAAGAGGCCCACACCAAGATACATCATAATTAAAATGGCTAAGGTTATAGACAAAGACAAAATCTTTAAGCAGCAAGAGCTTCCATAAGACAGTTAGCTGATTTCTCAATAGAAACACTTCAGGCCAGAAGGGATTAACAAGAAATATTCAAAGTGAGGAAAAACAAGGACCTACAACTAAGACTATGCTACCCATCAAGGATATCATTCAAAATTGAAGGAAACTAAAGAGCTTTCCAGATGGGAAAAAGCTAAATAAGTTCATCACCACCAATAGAGCATTACAAAAAATGTTAAAAAAAAAAAAGAAAGAAGGAAAAGAAGGAGGGGGGAGGGGATGGGGGGAGGAGGAGAGAGAGGAGAAGGAGGAAGAAGAAGAAAAAAGGAACATAAACTTGTAAAATAAAATGACAATAAATATATTCCTACCAATAATTACTTTAAATGTAAATGGATTAAATGTTCCTATTGAAAGACACTGAGTAGCTGACTGGATAAGAAAATAAGAGCCATCTATATGGTGTCTATGAGAGATCCACTTCACATCAAACGACAAAGGGATGAAAAAATATTTCATGCAAATAGAAACAAAAAGGCTAGATACAATACTTACATAGACTTTAAAACAAAGGCTATAATAAAAGACAAAGAAGGACATTACATAATGATAGAGATCAATTCAACAAGAGGATATAACCCTTGTTAACATTTATGCTCCCAACAATATAAGAGCACCTAAATTCATAAAGCAAATCTTGATGGACATAAAGGAAGAGAGTGACAAAAATACAGTCATAGTAGGAAACTTTAACACCCCATTGACATCAATGGATAAATCTTCCAAACAAAAATCAATGAAGAAATAGTGGCCTTAAATGACAGACTAGATCAGATGGATTTAATTGATATGTTCAGAGCATTTCAGAGAGGGAGAAAAACATCAATGTGTGAGAGGAAATTCAATCAGCTGCCTTTTGCATGCTCCCAACTGGGGACCTGGCCTGCAACCCAGGCATGTGCCTGGACCAGGAAGCAAACTGGTGACCTTTCGGTTCACTGGCTGGCACTCAACTCACTGAGCCACCAGCCAGGGCTCAGTTGCATTTTTAAACACCAATAATGAACTATCATAAAGGGAAACTAAGAAAACAAACCCATTTATTACTGCATCAAAAAATAAAACACCTGGAGACTTCCGCCAAGATTGAGGCGTAGGTAGAAGTACTGCGCCTTCTCACACAACCAAGTTTAAAAACAACAAAGTTTTAGCAACAAAAACACAGCCAAACCACAGAAAATTGAACTACACGGAAGTCTGACAACAACAAACCCTTCAGCCAAACTGGTAAGAGGGGCAGAGCCAGCAGCAGAGCGGGGTCAGGCAGGAAAGATCCACCAGACTGACCGGGGCGCGCAACCCAGGCGCACTGGCAGCTGTAGGTGGATCCCAGGTGTGGAGTAGTGGGCGGACCCACTGAAGGCCCAAGGCGGTGGACTCACTGAGGGCTGACCAAAGTCACACAGTCGAGCGCAGATAAACTGGTGAAGGAGCGAAGTGGTGAGACAGACTGTGCAGGCCCCAGTGGCAGAAAGTGGCAGAGGAGACTGCCAAAGTCCCTCTCTGACCCCGCCCCCACATATAGCGTCACAAACCATCGACCAGGGTGGCCCCCACCCTGGTGAACACCTCCTCTACATAACAGGCATGAACAGATCAAAACATGGCTCAAGAATAACTCAGAGCCCCAGAGCCGATAAATCTAAGCGATGAAGAAATAGCAAAACTTCCAGATGCACAGTTCAAAACACTGGTGATCAGGATGCTCACAGAACTGGTGGATTATAGTCACAAATTAGAGGAACATATGAAGGCTAAACTAATTGAAATGAATAGAAATGCACAGGAAACCAATTGTAATGGAAAGGAAACTGGGACTCAAATCAAAGGAGTGGACCAGAAAGAGGAAAAAAAATGACCAAACAGAAAAGGATGAAGAAACAAGAATTCAAAAAAATGAGGAGAGGCTTAGGATCCTCCAGGACATCTTTAAATGTTCCAACATCTGAATTATAGGGGTACCAGAAGGGGAAGAGGAACACCCACGAGTGAAAAACTTATTTGAACAAATAATAAAGGAGAATTTCCCCCATTCTGGCAAAGGAAATAGACTTCCAGGAAATCCAGGAAGCTCAGAGAGTACCAAAGAAGTTGGACCCAAGAAGGAACACACCAAGGCACATCATCATTACATTAGCCAAGATTAAAATGAAGGAGAGAATTCTAGGAGCAGCAAGAGATAAGGGGACAGTCACCTACAAAGGAGTTCCCATCAGACTGCCAGCGGATTTCTCAAAAGAGAACTTACAGGCAAGAAGGGGCTGGAAAGAAGTATTCCAAGTCATTAAATCCAAAGACCTACATCCAAGACTGCTCTATCCAGCAAAGCTTTCATTTAGAATGGAAGGGCAGATAAAGTGCTTCTCAGATAAGATCAAATTCAAGGAGTTCCTCATCACCAAGCCCTTATTATATGCAATGTTAAAGGGACTTGCCTAAGAAAAAGAAGATAAAAAAGATGAACAGTGAAAGGACAGCAAACTCACAGTTACTAAGAACCACACCTAAAACAAAAACAAACTAAGAACAGCTAGATCAGGAGCAGAACCATAGAAATGAAGATCACATGGAGGGTTAGCAACAGGGGAGTGGGAGAAGGAGAAGGGGGGAGAAGGTACAGAAAATGAGTAGCACAGATGGTAGGTAAAAAATAGATAGGGAGGAGGGCAAGAATAGTATAGGAAATATAGAATCTAAACAACTTGAGACACGTGGTCATAAACTAAAGGGGGGAAATGGGGGGGAGGGGTGGGCAGGGTGGGGAGAAATAGAACTGTAATGACATAATCAATAAAATATATTTTAAAAAAATACCTCAGAGTAAATTTGGCCAAGGAAGTAAAAGACCTATACTCGGAAAACTGTTAAGACACTGAAGAAAGAAAATGAAGACACAAAACTATGGAAGTATATATACACCATGCTCATGGATAGGAAGAATTAACATTATTAAAATGTCCACACTACCCAAAGCAATCTAAAGATTCAACACAATTTCTATTAAAATACCAATGGCATTTTCACAGTACTAGAACAAATAATCCAAATATTTTATGGAACCACAAAAGACCCCAGATAGCCACAGCAATCTTGAGAAAGAAGAACAAAGTTGGAGGAATCACACTACCTGAAATCACACTATATTATAAGGCTACAGTAATCAAAACAGACACAGAGAACAATGGAACAGAACAGAGAACCCAGACATAAACCCACACTTATATGGTCAATAAATATATAATAAAGAAGGCAAGAACATACAATGAGGTAAAGACAGTCCATTCAATAAATAGTGTTGGGAAAACTGGATAGATATACGCAGAAAAATAAAACTAGAAAACCCTCTTACATCATATACAAAAATAAACTCAAAATGGATTTAACACTTAAATATAAAGACTGAAAACCGTAAGTGTCCTGGAAGAGAACATAGGCATGCCCTGAGTGGTATGGCTCAGTGGGTTGGCATCATCCCACAAATTGAAAGGCAGACAGTTTGATTCCAGGTCAGGGCACATGTCGGGGTTGCAGGCCAGGTCCTTGGTTTGGGAATGCAGGAGGCAGCAACTGACAGATGCTTCTTTCACACACCCATGTTTTTCTCCTTCTCTTTCTCCCTCCTTTCCCCTCTATAAAAATAAATAAAATCTTAAAAAAGCAAACACAGGCAGTAAAATCCTTGACATTTCTCTTAGCTATATATTTTCTTATACACCTCCTTATATACCTTTCTTATATACAGAAGAAAAATAAATAGAACTACATCAAACTAAAAAGTTTTTGCAAAGCAAAAGAAACCATCAACAAAATGAAAGGCAACCTACTGAGTGGGAAAAGATATCTGCCGATGATACATCCAATAACAGGCTAATAACCAAAATTTATTAAAAAACTCATACAACTCAACATCAAAAAAAAGAAAAACAATCTGCGTAAAAAGTGGGCAGAGGACCTGAACAGACACTTCTCCAAAAAGGACATGCAGATGGCCAACAGACATATGAAAATATGCTAAATGCTACTAATCATCAGAGAAATGCAAATTAAAATGAGATACTACCTCACACCTGTCGGAATGACTATCATCAATAAATTTTTTTTAAAAAGTGTTGACGAGGATGTGGAGAAAAGGGAACCCTAGTGCACTGTTGGTGGGAATGTGGACTGATGTAACCACTGTGGAAAACAGTATGGAGGGTCCTCGAAAAATTAAAAATGTAATTGCCTTATGATGCAGTGATTCTACTTCTGGGTATATATACAAAGAAACCCAAAACACTGATTCAAAACAATATGAGCATCCCTGTGTTCACTGCAGCATTATTTGCAATAGCCAAACTATGGAAGCTACCCAAGTAGATAAAAATAGATTAAAAAGCTGTCATACGCATATATAATAGAATATTACTCAGACATAAAAAAGAATGAAATCTTACCATTTGGGACAGCCTGGTTGGACCCAGGAGGTATTATGTTAAACGATATGTTAGACAAAGAAAGACAAATACCATATGATCGCACTTGTATGTGGAATCTACAGAGCAATATAAACAACCAAAAATTAGAAACAGACTGACAGATACAGAGAAGAAACTGATGGTTTCCTGAGGAGGTGGGGTTGAGGAACTAAGTGAAAAAAATGAAGGAATTAAAATGTCTAAATTGGTAGTTACAAAACAGTAATGGAGATATAAAGTACAGCACAGGGAATGTAGTCAATACTATTCTAATAACTACGTATGGTGCCAGGGGTACTGGAAATACTGGGGGGACCACTCACTGTATAAAGTATATGATTATCTAACCACCATTCTGCACACCTGAAACTAAGATAAAATAACACTGAATGTAAACTTGTAATTAAAAAAATAAAATTAAAAAAAACTTAATAGAACACCTTAACTAATTACAAAATGAAGGCACTTTTACCACTGGCTGTTCACACCATAAAAGGAGAGAAGCAATCAATGCTTCTCCTCATGGAGAACACATCCCACCTGTGTATGAGTTTTGTTCCCCCCTCCCCTAATACTAACCCCAAATCTGATTAAGCCACTAGATTCAACAAGCAACCAACAGAATTACAAATACGGAGGACTGAAGAATATGTTAAAGGACACCACAAAGATGCCCAATCCCTGTCTCTTTTCTGTGGCCTCTTTACCTGAGGAATGTTCCTGAATTACTTTTCTCTCAGGGTAAAGTTGTTTGTTTCTCATCTTGCTACTTTCTATGCATGCCGATTATTTCCTTTTAAATTTCTAGTGATTCTTCATTATCTACTCACATTTATAAAATATCTTATTCTAATGGAAAAAGTGGATTCCTCTGCAATGCAATGCACCCATTTCTCCCATTTGGCAGGGCCAGGGGCCAGTGGTGTTGCTGACATCTCATACATCCAGAACAGAGATACAGTATTCAAAAAATTAAGCAGGAGGAAAAGAGAAAGAAGTAGACTACTCAAGGATACCGCAGCTCTTCAGGTTTCTGGTGTTTTATTATCTTAACAGAAGCAGTAGCTAGAAGACGAACACAAAGAAGCAAATAGTGGGAAAGAGGCTTTGCATTGGTGAATCACTCCAAGTAATGGAAAGAAACGTTTTCATCACAGTCAGTCTCAGATGGTAAATAGGAAAATCTTTTATAAGAAACTCAAATTAGACAAAATGTAAAAGACTGGAAAAAGAACAACAACAAGCATGCAAAGCTTCATTCCAGTTGCAAAGGGACAGAGAAAGCCAAATCTATTATCTAGGTGAGTCATAGAAAATTCAAGCATCTTCTCTTTCTCAACTATGTCCTTTAAAAGATTTACATTTCTATGTCCCAGGTTAGGTTAGGAGTTTCCCTCAACTCATTTTTCTCTTCTACTTTATATTTTTATTTGGACCATAAAGTACAATTAAAATACACACTATGTACCAGAAACTATTAATATCATCTAAACTCCCTTTCATTAATGTTTCATTACATGTTTAAGTTCAGTCACAGCATTTACTACCATGACTTTTGCCCTCGCCACAGGATTGCTGGTGTATTCAAAAACTGACAGTGTGCACCTGCATACAGGAAGGAGTCCCAACTTTGTGTTGGATATAACAACATGCCACTCCCCTGTCTAAAAAGTCCTGTCCACCAATCAATCATCAACCAGCCTGAGAGTTCAGCACCAGGAAAATCTGCATTTACACCTGGACTATTCCTGGTGTAAATACACCAGGACTATTACAACTATTCCTGGACTGCTTTCTGTGCCAGTTCCCCAAGTATGTTATCAGCTCTCAAATGGCAGGGGACATACTTGGGCATCAGATGGGATACAGACAAACACTGGACTCGGTCCAAAGCAGGTCCCACACCAATTTACCCCAGTAGGTATGGGGCGCACTTACTCACCCAGTTCTCTTCTATCCTTCCAATGCTGTATTTGTCATCTCCACCTGGGTCGTTGTGCTGCTTCTGCTCAGCATAAAATTCCTGTAGAGCTGCTAAGGCGTGGAAAGAAAGCTGGGGAACGTCATCATCTTCCAAGTCACACATTTCACAAATTGCCTATGACCTGCAGATAAGTAAAAGTGCTTCTTCCCATCAGATAACAAATAAAAAATGCTTATCTCACAGCAAAGCTCCAAACTGAAAGTGAGTTTTTTGAAAAAAGGGAAACAGATATTTAAGAGATCAAACATCTACACAGGTCTTCCATTCAAATGCAGTTTCCCTTTAAAGGTACATAGTTTTTACAAATGTGATTTTCAGATTTTTATGATGCCTTGTAGAACAAAAATTTTCCTAAGTATCTAAAGACATTTTGCTTCCTTCTGGTACCCCAATGGCCATATGCCGAGAGTGCCCAGCAGATTCTCTGAATCAGAGATCTTTTTATACATGAACATTACTGTTTAGGTGATCTAAGGCTCCTGGCTATTATTGATAGGATAAATAAAGGATTAATTTTTTTTTAAAAGAGGAGCACAGAAAGAGCTATGAAAAACAAAAGGGACAACAGAAGAAAGGGACAAAGAAAAGTAAAACAAAGGGAGACAAGAAGGTGTTTTTGTAGGAATGGATGGCCAGCACAATTACTTCTCCAGGTACCTCCCAGTCAGTGAAGACGGGTATGTCTGCCCAAGACCTCTACCAACTGCTAGTTCCAGGGCTCCTCAAACCACCCTCATATGCAGTAATTTGCTAGAAAGCCTCACAGAACTAAGGGCAATTATACTCAGTTATTACAGGGAAAGGGTATAAATTAGAGCCAGCCAAGGAACAGATGCAAAGTCCTGGAACATTCCAAACAGGAAGCTCCCACTGCCCTCAGCAGGCACAACCCTACGAGCATCCATGTGTGAGTGTCGGGGTGTAGTCTGTATTGAGGCTTCATGGCATCACCATGACTGACTAAAAAAGTAATGCTCCCCAGTTGAAGTCAGTCCCCAGCTCCTGTCCCCAAGGCTGGTATGGCCTAAGGGCCCTCCATGAATAACAAATATTTCTATCACCTGGGAAAATGTTTACAGGTTACCTATCAAAGGCCAAACCTCTATTTGGGTGAGGTAAATTCCTTACTACTCAGAAACCAAACGCATTTATAAATCAAAAGTTATTCTTAGCACAAAAACAGCACACTATTTGCTTTTTAAAACATTGTGTCTAAATTTTACAGCAAGTGAAATGTTGAAAGTCAACATTCAAGACCTTTGTCACATTGCTCCCTGCTACTCTAAGGCATACATGGGTGTATCTGATTTAGTCTTTGCCTCAGGCCCCCATCAAGGGCAATTAGAAAAGCAAGACTCTTACGGGTGGAATTTCCCAGGCCTAGGAAGTGCCCAAAAGATGCAGTTGTCATTTAAAATGAGAAATGCCTCTTGGTGCAACTTTTTTCTTTCCAAAATCAAAAAGCCACACTTTCCACCTAAAATCCTACAAACAAAAATAAAACCTGGTAAGTAATGACTACTGATAAACCAGTGTATTGTCACAAATTTCAAGGATATGTAAGTCATAAAGTTACAGAATACCGTATAACCAAGTCCACTTACATGAAGTTCAAAAACACACACATAAAAGCAAGTGAATAAAAATCTCAAGATTCAAGATTAAAGTTCCTTCTGTGGGTGAGGACTGGGCTTAAAAAAAAATACACATAAAAATTTCCTGGGGACTTCCGCCAAGATGGAGGCATAGGTGGAGACGCTGTGCCGTCTCACACAACCAACTTTAGAGACAACTAAATATTAGCAACAGAAAACACAGCCAGAACACAGAAAATTGAACTTTTCGGAAGTCTGTTAACAACAAATTCTTCAGCCTGACCGGTAAGGGGCGAAACCAGCGGCTGGTGGAGCGGAGTTGCACAGGAGGTCTCGGTCAGACGGACTCAGGCGCGTGGAATCCAGGCGCAGGGTTGGACCTAGTGAGCGACCGAGCAAGTGACCGAGGGGGGAAACAGCGAGGGAGCAGGGCTGCGAGTTGACTGTGGTTGCTCATTGGTGCGAGGATAGACAAGCAAGGGAGTGGGTGATTGGACCGGAACCCAGCGGGTCCCCACAGCAAGCGGCAGGGAGGGCGCCGCCATTTCCCTGCTCTGACCCCACCTCCACAGACCCAGCGACTCTGAGTGGCCTGGCCCAGGTGAACCACCTAAGGCGCTGCTCCTCACCCAGCAGCACGAAACAGCAGAGGGGGTCGCCATTTCCCCGCTCTGACCACGCCCCCACATACAGCGTCACAACCCAGAGACCTGGGAGTCCAAGGTGCCGCTTCTCACACTTAAAGGGCGCGAACAGACCAAAAATGGCTCAAGAAGATCTCAAAGTCCCAGAGCCTATAAATCTAAGCGATGAAGAAATAGCAAAACTCACAGACGCACAGTTTAAAACACTGGTGATCAGGATCCTCACAGAACTGGTTGATTATAGCCACAAATTAGACAAATATATGAAGGCCAAACTAATTGAAATGAATGGAATTGCACAGGACACCAATAGCAATGAAAAGGAAACTGGGACTCAAATCAATGGAGTGGACCAGAAGAAAGCAAATAATGGCCAAACAGAAAAGAGTCAAGAAGCAAGAATTCAAAAAAATGAGGAGAGGCTTAGGAACCTCCAGGACATCTTTAAACGCTCCAACATCCGAATTATAGGGGTACCAGAAGGGGGAAAGGCACAGCCACCAGTGGAAAACTTATTGGAACAAATAATAAAGGAGAATTTCCCCAATCTGGCAAAGGTAATAGACTTCCAGGAAATCCAGGAAGCTCAGAGAGTACCAAAGAAGTTGGACCCAAGAAGGAACACACCAAGGCACAACATAATTACATTAGCCAAGATTAAAATGAAGGAGAGAATCCTAGAAGCAGCAAGAGCTAAGGGGACAATCACCTACAAAGGAGTCCCCATCAGACTGTCAGCAGATTTCTCAAAAGAGACCTTACAGGCAAGACGGGGCTGAAAAGAGGTATTCCAAGTCATGAAATCCAAAGACCTACAACCAAGATTGCTCTATCCAGCAAAACTTTCATTTAGAATGGAAGGACAGATAAGGTGCTTCTCAGATAAGATCAAATTCAAGGAGTTCATCATCACCAAGCCCTTATTATATGAAATGTTAAAGGAACTTATCTAAGAAAAAGAAGATAAAGAAACATGAACAGTGAAAGGACAACAAACTCACAGTTATTAAGAACCACACCTAAAACAAAAGCAAACTAAAAGGACAGCTAGATCAGGAGTGGAAACATAGAAATGAAGATCTCAAGAAAGGTTAGCAACAGGGGAGTGGGAGGAGGAGAAGGGGGGAGAAGGTACAGAAAATAAGTAGCATAGACAGTAGACAGAAAATAGATGGGGGGGGGTAAGAATAGCATGGGAAATATAGAATCTAAAGGACTTGAGACACATGGTCATAAACTAAAGGGGGGGTAACGGTGGGGACGGGGGGTAGGGTGGAGGGGAATGAAGGGGGGAATAGAACAACTGTAACAGCATAAGCAATAAAAAAATTTCCTAAATGTTTATTGCATTCCAACAACAGACCTGTAGATTTGTTTCCGTGAGTAAAAAAGTACCTGAAGTGGCTTCTAGTTGATGCCTCCTGAGAGTACTGAAGGATTGAAATGTGTCATTTTAGTTCACTGGGAAAAAAAAGAATAAATTTCCGGCAAAGCACATTAGGAGCTATCAGGCTGGAGCATTTCCAAGTGGAAATTCCACAGATTCATACTTGTGTGCAAGCTAAGCTGAGAGAAACTGCAGCAGCACAGAAAACTGATTACAAACTACCAGGTTTCATTTTAGTTGGGTATTTCAGGATTGAACATTTCTTTCACTCAGGTAAAGAACTGAGCAACTATTAAAATACAATGCCTCAGCCCTGGCTGGTGTAGCAGGCCTTCGAACCAGACAGTCGCAGTTCGATTCCTAGTCAGGGCACATGCCTGGGTTGCAGGCCGGTTCCCTGCAGGCCAGTTCCCAGCAGGGGACACACGAAAGGCAACCATACATTGATGTTTCTCCCCCTCTCTCCTTCCCTTCCCCTCTAAAGATAAATAAATAAAATCTTAAAAAAAAAAAGAAATATCAGGGGCATCCCAAAAGATTTAGGATTATCTCTGGTACCTCAGTCCACTTAATAGAAGATGATTATTAAAAAAAAAAAAAAAAAAACAATGCCTCATGGCAGAGATGAATGACAGACCTAGGTAGGCCTAGGAGGAATGGAAAATTATCAGGTGGGAAACCACACAATGGGAAACTGTAGCCTGAGAAACTGCCTGCCAACCTTACCCAGGACAAACAGATGCCCAGCTACAACTGGAGTCTCGGGTCAGCCTGTCGGCAAAACAGAACGCAGCTTTAACTTGAGCCTGACAAGATGTATCAAGAACACTGCTCAGCAGAAATGGCACCCAGGAACCAGCTCTAGCCAATCATATTCTGACACCCCAACCAGTTACCCTTCACTGGTTTTTGTGCTTAAAAACCCTGCCCTAGGAACAACTGAGTGAGTCCTAACCTCCCTTGGTTGGCTCCACTTCCTCCTGCAAGTTCCAACTTCCCTTGGTTGGCTCCACTTTCCCGTCTTATTCCCTCCCCACTAATAAGTCCTACTCCTTGGCTCACTGTGTCCCTCTGGTTTTTTGAGTTACTCCGACCTAACAGTGAAGTGTGCAAGCTGTTCCTGATTAAAGTTTTATGACCCTGCCTAGAAGATCTGAACAACAAAGTGTGTATGTATGTGTGTGTCCATATACATTCCTACAGATACACACATATGTATGTCCTTGTTGTAAATAGGAATATTTGAATTTTTATTTATTAATACTAAAAAGTGCTTTCCACAGCAGCATCTCTTGAGAAGGGCTTTGAAATTGCAGCTTGAAATCTGTTATCAAGACATTTAGAAATAGGAGACTTCCGCCAAGATGGAGGCATAGGTGGATGTGCCGTGCCTTCTCACACAACCAAGATTAGAGAAAACTAAATATTAGCAACAGAAAACACAGCCAGAACACGGAAAATTGAACTTTTCGGAAGTCCGTTAACAACAAATTCTTCAGCCTGACCGGTAAGGGGCGAAACCAGCGGCTGGCGGAGCAGGGTTGCACAGGAGGACTCGGCCAGACACACTCAGGCCCACGGAATCCAGGCGCAGGGTCAGACCTAGTGAGCGACCCAGCGAGCAACCAGGCGAGCGACCGCAGGGGAGACAGCCGGGCCGGGGCTGCGTGTTGACTGAGGTCGCGCATTTGTGCGAGGGTGGACAGGCGAGGGAGTGGGCGGTTGGACCGGCCGGCAGGGGAGGGCGCCGCCATTTTCCTGCTCTGACCCCACCTCCACATACAGCGTCATAACCCAGCGACTCTGAGTGGCCCGGCCCAGGTGAACCACCTAAGGCACTGCTCCTCCGCACCCAGCTGTGAGAAGCGGCAGAGGGGGTCGCCATTTCCCTGCTCTGGCCACGCCCCCACATACAGCGTCACAACCCAGCGACCTGGGAATCCAAGGCGCCGCTTCTCACACTTAAAGGGCCCGAACAGACCAAGAATGGCGCAGAAGGATCTCAGAGCCCCAGAGCCAATAAATCTAAGCGATGAAGAAATAGCAAAACTCACAGACGCACAGTTTAAAACATTGGTGATCAGGATCCTCACAGAACTGGTTGATTATACCGACAAATTAGACAAATATATGAAGGCAAAACAAATTGAAATGAATGGAATTGCACAGGACACCAATAGCAATGAAAAGGAAACTGGGACTCAAATCAATGGAGTGGACCAGAAGAAAGCAAATAATGGCCAAACAGAAAAGAGTCAAGAAGCAAGAATTCAAAGAAATGAGGAGAGGCTTAGGAACCTCCAGGACATCTTTAAATGCTCCAACATCCGAATTATAGGGGTACCAGAAGGGGGAAAGGCACAGCCACCAGTGGAAAACTTATTGGAACAAATAATAAAGGAGAATTTCCCCAATCTGGCAAAGGAAATAGACTTCCAGTAAATCCAGGAAGCTCAGAGAGTACCAAAGAAGTTGGACCCAAGAAGGAACCACACCAAGGCACATCGTAATTACATTAGCCAAGATTAAAATGAAGGAGAGAATCCTAGAAGCAGCAAGAGCTAAGGGGACAGTCACCTACAAAGGAGTCCCCATCAGACTGTCAGCTGATTTCTCAAAAGAGACCTTACAGGCAAGAAGGGGCTGGAAAGAGGTATTCCAAGTCATGAAATCTAAAGACCTACAACCAAGATTGCTCTATCCAGCAAAACTTTCATTTAAAATGGAAGGACAGATAAGGTGCTTCTCAGATAAGATAAAATTCAAGGAGTTCATCATCACCAAGCCCTTATTATATGAAATGTTAAAGGGACTTATCTAAGAAAAAGAAGTTAAAGAAACATGAACAGTGAAAGGACAACAAACTCACAGTTATTAACAACCACACCTAAAACAAAAGCAAACTAAAAGGACAGCTAGATCAGGAGTGGAAACATAGAAATGAAGATCTCAAGGAGGGTTAGCAACAGGGGAGTGGGAGGAGGAGAAGGGGGGAGAAGGTACAGAAAATAAGTAGCATAGACAGTAGATAGAAAATAGATGGGGGGGCAAGAATAGCATGGGAAATATAGAATCTAAAGGACTTGAGACACATGGTCATAAACTAAAGGGGGGGTGATGGTGGGGATGGGGGATAGGGTGGAGGGGAATAAAGGGGGAATAGAACAACTGTAACAGCATAATCAATAAAAAATAAAAAATAAATATTAAAAAAAGACATTTAGAAATAAAACATAAAAACTAAAAAGAAACCAGTTGACTTTTAAGTGCAAAACAAAGAATTCTAAAGAGCAGTTTAAGTAAACTGTTTTTCATGGCTGTAAAAAGAATTCAATTTCAAGCTATATTTTAGCATGAATTTTATTTTAAAATTTTTCTTAAAAGTTTATTTTAAAGCTGATCAAATTACTAATTGTTCACTTTTTTTGAGGCACTACTTTGTACTATGCACTGTCTTGGTAATAGCCATCACAGTCCCTCTCCTCTTGGAGCTCACATTCTATTGAGACAGACAGATCATGAGCAGAAATAAAATATATGCTGAACAATGAAATATAAAATCAGTGGAGGGATATTTGGAGTAGAGGCTGCAATATTAGCAATCACAGACTGTTTCCTACAGTCTCACTGACATAAGTGTGCATCACTTGCTACATGGGGAAAATTGATAATGTAATATACATCACTAAATACTAAATTAAATAAACTCTGATGTGATAATTTTTTACTTGTCACTACTTTATTATCTTTAACGTTATGTCAATTTCCTGAGTTTGTGAAATTGCTGGGAAAGGTATTTCCAAGTCCAAAAGGGTCGGTAAGTGCTGTTATATTATTAAACTGACATTCAGTCTTATTTGGCACTCACAGAAAATAAGATTTGCCCCCCAGGGGAATAACTGGCAAAATCTGAAGACATTTTTAATAGTCATAACTAGGAAGGATACTGTTCACATCTAATCCGTACAAGCTAGGGAGCTGGTCAACTCCCTGTAATTTATGGGGCAACCCTCCACAACAAAGAACTCCAAAATGTCAACAGCGCTAGGGTTGAGAAACTGCACTGTGATGATGTGTAAGCCCACTATTAGAAGAGCTGCATTTACTGCCGTGGGTCAGAAAAAAGAGCATGTGTGGGTAGAGGGTGACAATGATGTAACGGGTGGATTATCTAGCACAAGAAAAGCCCGGGCACATTCGTGTGCAGCCTCCGCAGAGTGAGCAGGCTCCTAATGGGCTGTGCTGTCACTTTCTGTTTCCTTAGACAGTACTTGACACAGCATAATTAATGTAGTCTACAAAGGAATGCGTAAAAATGTTCAATTTCCGTATGTCAACTTCTGGTAACACAAGCCCCTCCGCCCTCCACTGCATCAAGTCGTACAGGCTCCCATTATCTCTGCAGGTGATTCTGGCAAGGTGGTGGTTGCGTTAACCACAATCCCCCCCCACACACACACACATCCAGCGCTGCCAATCGAGAAGACCCTCCTCCTACTCACAATCAAAGCGCCTACAGTACCTCACTTCCCTCCCGTCTTCGTACAAAGACTTACACCGCCACCTAAAGCTCTACTCACGCTGTTGCTTTAAATTCTATGAAACTAGGTGTAACTTGTGTCTAGTGGGATACAATCAGGAACGTCCTCTCCCGCCCTCTTCCCCGCACGCACCCACAGGAAGCCTCCCGGCCTTTACGTCATCGTTGCGCGACACCTCCCGAGCGGCCAGAACCCTCCTATGACCCTTTGATCTCGGACCCCAGCACCCTAGGGGCTCCAGCCCCAAACTCCCTTACATAGCACAGACTTCTGCTGGTCCCCGGCCAAGCCCAGACATCACTGACTGCCCCATCTCCCCAAAAGCACCAGGAAACGGGAAGCACTGCCGACCCCAGAGCCTCACGCAACCACTCACCAGCACTTGTGGGCAGTCGCCAGAAGCCGGAGATGTGGGCGGGGGTCTGCCGAGCAGCGCATGCGCAAACCGCTGGTTAGGGCAGCTGCGTCCCATTCCCGAGTTAGCAACGTGCGAGATGACTTGTTTCTCTTTCCTCCAAGAACGGTGGTTAATTCAATTAAAATTTAAGGTTCTCATTAGACCCACTTGAAGAGAAACTCAAGAAGCCTATTTGCCTTTGGGTAGATGTATAATTCACAAACACATATCAGGCGGGGCTTCCTTGGCTTACTATGTCTTTAAATTCTCTTATTTTTAGAGGGGAGAAAGGAGGAGAGGCAGAACCATCGTTTGCCTCCAGTCTGCCCCTGACCCAAACTGCCACCCAGGCGTGTGCCCTTGGCAGGATGTAACCGACGACCTTCCCCTTTTCAGGGCAACCAACCGTGCCACAGGTTGTGTACTTAAAATCTTTATTACTAGAGATATCAAGACATGAGAGGCCTTATACTGTTGATAGAATTAGAAAAACTTTTTTAGACCCTCCACCATAATCACATTTCCTTCCCAAATTCAACGTGGTTACTAGGTCCAGCTACCCCCATTTTTCACTGGAGCTGACAGTGAAGAAGGAGACATCAGTGAGCAGAGGAGGTAACTGTCTCCATGCTGAAATAAGGGCAGCTGCTGATTTGACAAATAATGTAATTAGGCTGCAACATTTCTCTATAGAAATAATTACAAATGTAGAACACCTGCATGAACCTCCCAGAACCTTCCAAGATGAAGGCATTCCTCAATGTATATTAAAACCTCCAGCTTCAAGATGCAGGTACAGGTTGATAGGCATTACCTCATTGCACAAGCATAGAAGGAACAGAACTAATTTAAACTAAGAATGAAAAACTCCCCGAACTGAATGGAAGTCTGACAACCAAGAATTTAAAGAAGCTATATCCATCCAGATGGGAAGGAGCAGAGAGAACATGATGTAGCAGCTGGAAGAATGGCAGTCCCACATTCACATGTGGTAGATAAAAATCAGGGAGACACCTTCTGAGTGAGCAATCCCAGGCCCAGGTCAGACATAGAAGCCCAGGGTTACCATGCCAGGAAAAATAAGGCCTCATAACCTCTGGCTGTAAACACAGTGGCAGCTGGGATGGTGGAAAAAAACTGCTGGTTTTTCAGGAGAGCTGGGAACTACACAAACCCACCCACTCTAAAAACCATAACCAGGACAGCAGATAGAGGGGAGTCAGTTGCATAAGGGAAGTGGGTGAAGTGACCGGAAAAGGGGCGAGTAAAGGTAAGCCCACAGAAGTCAGCCACCAGCAGCATGGTTCCCTCACCAACCCTCCCGCCCCACGGAGCCACAAGGCATCGAAGCAGGTTGCTCCACCATGGTAATACCCAAGGCTCTGTCCCATACAATTTAACAGATGAGCCAAGAGAGGATATCAAAGCTGCTCTATCTAGTACACAGACAAAATGAGGAGACAAAGAAATATGGCCCAAATGAAGGAACAGAACAGAATTCCAGGAAAAGAACTAAGTGATTCCAAGATAGCCAACCTATCAGACACAGTTCAAAACACAGGTGTGGTCAGAATGCTCAGAGATCTCACTGAATAAGGCAAAAGCATAAGGGAAGAAAAGAAAACCTATACTAAGGAAAATAAAGAAATATCTATAGGAAACCAAGAGTGCAGGGAAGGAAGTCGGGATTCACATCAACAATTTGGAATATAAGGAAGAAATAAACATTCAACCAGAACAGAAAAAAACAGAATTCAAAAAAAAAAAAAGAGGAGGGGGGATGGGCTTGGATGGGAGTAAAAGGCAGAAAACTGCACTTGAACAACAATTAAAATTTTAAAAAAATGAGAGTTTAACAAGATTCTGGGACATATCCAAAAGGGCCAACATCTGAACCATAGGGATACCAGAAGAGGAAGAACAAAAAACTGAAAACTTACTTGAAAAAATGAAAGACAACTACCCTCATTTGACAAAGGAAAGACATACAAGTCCAGGAACCACAGAGTTCCAAACAAGCTGGACCAAAAGAGGTCTACACCAAGACATATCCTAGTTAAAATGCCAAAGGTTAAAGACAAAAGAGAGAATCTTAAAAGCAAGAGAAAAGCAGAGAGTTACCTACAAAGGAGTTCCCATAAGACTATAAGTTGATTTCTCAAAAGAAAATTTGCAGGCAAGAAGGGGCAGGGAAGAAGTGTTCAAAGTGATGAAAAGCAAGGACCTACAACCAAGATCACTCTATTTAGCAAATCCATCATTTAGAATGTAAGAATAGATAGAGTTTCCCAGACAAGGTAAAGCTAAAGGAGTTCCTCATCACCAAGCCCTTAATACAAAATGTTAAAAGGACTTATTTAAGAAAAAGATCGAAACAATGAATATTAAAATGACAAAAACCTCACAACCATCAACAACGCAAAAACTAAGTAAACAACTAGAACAGGAATGAAGATCATTTGGAGGGTTATCAGCTGAGAGGGAGAAAGGGGAGGATGGGGTAAAGGTACAGGGATTTAGAGTGTAATTGAGTAGCTACAAAATAGACAGCGGTTGGGGGTTAAGAATGGTACAGGCAATGGAGAAGACAAAGAACTTATATGCATGATCCATGGACAAGAACTAAGGGAGGAGGGTGTTGCTGGAGGGGAGTACCAGGCAGAGAGGGACAAAAGGGGAAAAAATCGGGACAACTGTAATAGCATAATCAATAAAATGTACTAAAAAAAAACCCTCTAGCAAAATGCCTGGCACATAAAAAGCACCTGTTAAATCTGGAAGTTACCAAATCATAAGTGATATATTTTCCAGTCCAGAAGGCAATCAATCTATATTATGTTCCTACCTTCCTCTCCTTCATTTTATCAATTTCATTACTGTGCTGTTTTATATATTCTGCACAAATGCCTTAAATCCTTCCTGGCACAAGTTGAGGATATAAGCAAATGACTCAACTGCCAAACAGTAATAGTACATAACCCAGGCTTACGACTTGAGAAGTACCATAATTTCCATTATGAAGACTGTTTCCTGGCCCAAAGCAACCCATGAATTACTTTTATTTTGATAGCTCTGAACTGATGACAAGTCTACTAAACCAAGTATTTCGAAACCAGGCATAACTTAGCAAAGAAGCAGGAAAGAAAATACATAAAACAAACTAAAATCATTAATGTGAACCAAGAACCAATTTTAGAATGGTATATTTTTCAGAGAAGTGTAAAAAACATAGGAAACGGACTTGACCTACAATTTACAAGTCATGTTAAAGCAAATTTTTGGTTTGAAACATAACTCTTTAAACTTTAAAAGTTGCCACTGCTTTCATAGCACATGAGATGCAATACTTACCTTCAGGTAACATGTATTATGATGTTATTTTTACCATTAAAGTGACCACAGATGTCAGTCAGGAAGTTCAGTTATACCTCCACCAACAGTGCTGACTACTCAGACAGCTTGCTCACAGTAATACATGAAGATTAAAATTTTCCTGATAAAATATCTGCATTGTAATTTAGTAGTTTTTACAAACCATAAACAATTTATCAAAGGCAATTTGATACTCTGAAAGGAAAATTATTCAACAAGTTACACTGGACTTAAGATGATTTCAAATCTATTTTAGTTCGGGAATTATTCCTTTTGTGTTTTCAAAAGTGGTTTTTGTTCATTTCACTCCTCTTCAGAAATGATGCATAAAAGAAACGAAGAGCCTTAGCTGGGTGGTTCAGTCGGTTGGAGTATCAGCCAGTACACCAAAAGGTTGGGGATTCAATCCCTGGCCAGGCCACTCACCTAGGTACCAGTTCAGTCCCTGGTTGGAGCGCAAGAGAGAGGCAACCAATAGATGTTTTTCTCTCTCCCCCTCCCTCTCTCTAAAATCAATAACCAATATATCCTCAGGTGAGAATTAAAAAAAACAAAATAAAAAAGAAATGGAAATTACTTTGGAAAAGATCTTTTTTTTTTTTTACACTTGACTTTTACAGAAAGACATCAATGTGTTTGTTCCACTCATTGAGGCATTCATTCATCGGCTGCCTCCCCCTATGTGCCCTGACCAAGGATGGAATCCACAACCCTAAGGGACAACTTAAAGCAACTCAGTTGCTTTATCCAACTGAGCTACCTGACCAGGGCTGGCAAGATCTCTTAAAATAAAGATGAAGTTAGACTCAATTTTCCTTTTATAAAAATAAGTACTAAAATTACAAGAACACAGATTCAGATGGTTTTTTTTCCCCATTCTTGAAGTGTTTTATCACCAGATTACTCAAATTAACCTAAGCATGTTGCAAAGGGTGCTTCTGAATTCTAGTCCCACTGATGCTTTGAGAAGAAACTATTACATAAAATGAGGAAATCTGATTGAGATCTTCTAGGGCAGTGTAGTAAAGCCCTTAACTTTACACAGGAAAGACACTCATTTCACTTCTTTAATTTATAATGAATTAGTGATACATGAAACTCCCTTTGGAAATTACTGTTAGGGTTTTTTTGTTGTTATAGGAATATGATGAGTAAATTCAGTATAAACTAAAAACCTTGACTTAAATAGACCAATTTTCTTGTATAAACTAAGTAACAGTGAACTCAATCACAATACCATCCTGGTGGCTGTGTCAAGGGCTATATGGTCACACTGTACTGATGTAAAGTTATCACAATATTCTAAAATAATGACGATCAGGTATTAGACTTTGTTATAAGGGCACACTTACCTAATGCAACAAA